TCCTTTCTAACAACAGCAACAGCAATCATTTGATGTTACTGTTCTTTGTAAAGCCCTTAGCATTCATTACGTCATTTATCCTCCTAAGAAACCTATAAATAAAAAGTATCATTTCCTTAAAAACCCTAGAACCAGATTTTTGCTGCTGTGCCTCTTCAAAATGGCTCCCTCTCCAGTGCTCCCAACCCCAGTCCCCACACCGCTCACTCTCTGGCTCAAGCCAAAACACTGCAAACCACCCTTGACTCACCTCTCCCTATCACAGCCACACTCAATCCGCCAGCCAATCCCATCCTTCAAAACAGACCTCAGATAGGACCACTTCTCCCCTGCTCAAGGCCAAGGGACCACATCCTCTAGCCTGGACTACAGATGTCTGGCATCGAGCAGATGTTGAATAAATACTGGCTTTGTGTTGACTGAACGGTTTCCTCATTGGTCCCATCTCCCGGCCCTTCCCTTCCTGCCTCCTTTCCAGGGTAGTCTGATTAGGAGTCCAGTGAAAGCATATATTACAGGTCTTGTCACTTCTTCATTCAGAAGTTCCCAGTGCATTCTCAACACATCTAGAATAAAATGTAAAATCCAATAACCTCACTCACACAAGCAATCTCTTGCCTTCAGTGCCGATTCTCTCCGCCCAGAACATTCTTCCCTTGCCCCCTTCATCTTTCCTCCGGTCCTGACCTCCTTACCTACACTAACTCCCTACCTCTGTCTCTCCCCTTCTGTTCACAGCTACTACGTTGCCTATATTCTCATCCACCCTTAATCTTCCCCCACGTCCCACCTAGCTTCCACCCCCAAATTCATTCTTACCAGGGCAGCCCACAACTTCCAGTTACTAAAAACCAGTACAAGCATTTTCTTCCTCATCTCAGCTCACCTCCGACAGTATTTGATGCTACTTACCCCTCCCAGATTTTGAAACATCGAATTTCCTTGCCTTCTAAAAAGCAGCCATCTTCTTGTTTCTCTCCTGTCTGGTCCTTCTGTTTCTCCCCTCAGGCTCTCTCTTCTTAATGTAGCTATTAATGTCACAGGTCTTGAGCCCAGGTGATCCCGCCATGCTCATCCCCAGATGGGCGCCCCTAGATCTCTCCTCTGGAGTCCAGAGTCATGTACCCAATTGCCATTGTCCATGTCTAAGTGTCACAGGTGACACAAACACATGTCAAAAACCAAACCCATGATCCATATCCCCTAATCCAACACTAATTAAAAAAAAAAACAACAATGATCCAATTTTTAAGAGTCAAGTCCTCTTGGATGGTCCCCATCTCTATAAATGGCACCACCCATCCATCTTACAATGCCATGCAGGGCTCTATGTCAGCTTAAACACCTTCCTCTTCCTCACCTCCTCATATCCTAGCAATAAATTCTATAAACACTACCCCTCATCCCCAAACTGTTGACTCTCTCCATCTTTATCTGAACCACCCCATCTCAACCACCATTATTGCACTTCACCCAGATTAGTAAACTGACAGTCTTACCTGTGTCAACTGGGTCTCCACATTACAACACTAGTATTGAACTGAAAAAGCACATTTGTTCCAATTAAAGCCCTTGATTAAAGTTTCTCAGTGGCTTCCCATTACCTTGAGGAGGAAGCAAAATTCCTTAAAAAGATCAGAAAAGCTCTACCCACATCCTCAGCTGATGTAGTGCTGTCGCAGTCCCTCTGTCCTTCTGCCAGTCTTCTCGTGTTTTTAAGTTCCCGCCTACTGCAGATTCTTTGCAAATGCTGACCCCTCCCCCTCTTTACTCAGGTAACTCATACCATCTTTTAATTAATAGCCCAGTGACCATTTCTTTAATGAAACCTTCCTTCACTCCTCCACCCCGACTCAGGGATTTGTGGCTAAGTACTCAACTTAAAATTTTATGCATTTCAGTTTTTTCAAGTGTAACATTTATAGAGAACCAACTGGCTCAGAGTTGTAAAGAGGATTAAACTGCATCTAAAATGTCTTGTTTATAGTAAGCATTCGACAAATATCATCTCCTTCTCTCTTGCAATTTCCCCTACCCCATGAGTGTGTAGGACCTGTAATACCACTGCTGCAAATGACATTTTGGGAATTGAAATAAAAAGAGAATGACCCTTCCTTTCCACCTCTGTAAGAAAATAATTTGATTAGTAACTGGGAAGCCATAATTCTTCCATAAATTCCACTTCTTAATTATTATGCCAGTTTCTAGCAGGACTCATCAATTCCAATAACCTAAGGTCCATATTTTCAAATTGCTCCAAGAGATATTGTCAAGTCACGTAAGCACTCAGGGACGAAGGGAAGGGGGGAACAGAAATACCAGTAAACTAGAAGAGAGCTAGGAGAGGTCAAATCCCCGTCTGCAAATATCACTGCATGATCAAGAAAAGAACTCACACTATTAGGCAACGTTCATTTAGGAGAGTAGCAATCATTTCAGCATAAAAATTGAAACAGTAGCTTGTAGTTTGTTGTGACAAGACCTGATCTATACAGAAGCCCATTCTTAATAAGAGAAACAGTTCTGAGCTGACTTCCAGGGAAGGGCGGCACCACCAACATTCTAAGGATCTTAGCTCTCTCTACTGATCACTTTCACTCTTAAATGTACGTAAGATTTATCATGTATTTTCTAGTCATCTAGTTCTTTCATTTCATCTCTCTTTTACACATCACCATCCTAGACAGAAAAGAGTGTGGCTGTACATAACAGTGCTCGACATAAGATTTAGACGTTCAATTCTGCCTTTGCAGGTTTGTACTGCAAAACCATTCATATGCATATGTGGTACCCTGTGATGTAAAAGTGGTAACAGTTCCATTGAGAACATGGTCTTCCTGCTTTCCTACAGAGTTCTCTGCTAGTGCAACCCTGAACAGAAAACAAATTCACATACGAGGTTCATCCAGGGGACACTGGGGGTTGGGTTAGGAAGATGGCTCCCCACCCCTACTAATTACACTCCTTTTCCTGCGATCGGTGGATGTTCAGGAGATGGAATTTCATCCTCTGGGGAACTCTATTTGAAATCAAAGTGACCAGGTTCCTCTTCTATGCTCTGCCTATAAATTGTCTTTCAAGAAAGAAAATGACCTCCTGGCGGCAGGTGGTAGTGAGAGAATGGAATCAGCCATCCTGTCTTCCAGAAAGAGATGAGCAGAAGTGAAGTGGAGATGCTAAATGCGTGTAGGAGTAACCCCACTGAAAGCTCGTCTGTGTAGTGTTTATGTATTATGCAGAGGCAAGAAATTCAGGCAGCTGCTGGCTTGGCCTCCAAATATAAACAGATTAAGAAATGTGGCTTGCAGAAAGAGTGTAAGCAACCCCTAATTTGCGAACACTTAACTGTATCAGATATCCGTTTATAATCCCC